CTCTCTCTCTGACTTTCTCTTTCCTCTCTCTCTTTCTCCCTCTGTCTGGGCTCTTCCTCTCTGCCAGCCGCCCACGCTGCTGTCTCCCCTCCCAATCCCAGCTGTCCCCGCCCCTTCTGGCCTCCCCACCCCAGGCTGACCCCTGGCTCCACTGCCCCCACAGATGAAAGGAGGGGCTGGAACCCCTTATCCTGGGTTTTTTTTGTTTGGGTTTTTTTTTTTTTTAGAGACTGGGGGATGACTCCCCGAAGAATTTCAAGTACAGGGGCTGGGACTCTGACTCCAAGGTCCCAGGGGACTGTCTGTGGTCAGGGGTGTGGACCATTGGCACCCTGAGAGAACAGGGCTTGGATCTTAGAATGGTGGAGTCCTAACAAGGTGCCAACTTGGGGGAAGGACTGTTGGGGTTGTGATCCAGCCAGGGGCTTCAGTGGATGGGACAGAGGACAGCTCTCCAGGTCCCTCAAGGAGAAGAGGTGATTCAGATTCCTGCATGGTGGCCAGGACCCCTGGTGTCATAGTGGGTTAAAAGTTAGGCTGCTAAACAGAAGGTCATAGGTTCAAACCCCAGAAGCTGGGAGAAAGATGGGTAGCAGTCTGCTACCACGAAAATAAGTTTTGGAAATGCTATTGGAGACAACATAACACCTGTGGTTTTCACTGGGGCAGGGAAGAAGTGGTGGCTGGTGTCATCACTCCACTTCCAGGTGAGAAATTGAGCCTAGACTGAGGAAAACACCCTTCGGGTAGAGCTGGGATCCTGAAGGTGGCAAGAGAGTAGGATTTCAGACATTAGAGGAGAAAGACACTCCAGAATGATGGACATTGCTGCTAACTGAAATGTTTGGGTGTTCAAGTCCATCCAAGGTGCCTGGTGATCTACTTTGAAAATTTAGCCATTGGAATCCCCATGGAATGCCCCCCTCCCCGCCCCTTCCAACCATCAACAGACAGGCCTGTAAGCTGATAAGTACACACTCCCGAGAAGAGTGAACGAAAGGAGATGGAAAGGACAGAGCATTTGCCCCAGGGATAAAGCTCTGAAGACAGGAAGGAGGAATGGAAACAGGAAATACAGGAAGGAGGAATGGAAACAGGAAATACAGGGAGGAAGTGGAATGAGTGCTGCTACCATGTGGGGGTTGTAACCGTGTCGGGAAATATGTGCATAAATGGTTGAATGGAAAACCGCTTGCTCTGTAAACTTCCCCTCAAGTCACAATAAAAATTTACAAAGTAGGGGAGCTCTGGTGGCCTAGTGGCAAGAAGCTGCCCTTCAATCCCAGAGGCGCGTGGTTCAAATCCACCAGATGCTCTGCTGAAGGAGGGGCAATCTCCTCCTGTACCTGTCAGATCCAATTTGATGGTACACACAGACAAAATAGTAACATTTACAAAAAATAAAAAAGACTTACAAAGTAGAACGCAGGAAATAACATCATGGAACACGGTTCCACTCAGGCATGCTTGCGGGGTCATCAGGTATCAGAACTGACTCCATCCAGGGCAATTTGTTGGGATTTTTCTTGGAGGGGGAGAGACGCTGGAGGGGGTGGAACCAAGCAGCGCTCCAGCCAAAATAATAAGTTTGAGGGAGCAGAGTTTGAAGCAGATGACGGAGAAACACGAAAAAAACCAAACACACTGTGGTGCAGTCGATTTGGACTCCTAGAGACTGTAAGGAGTATTGGATTTAAACTTCTGGCCATTTGCACTTGGGCCTCTGTGATTGTGGCAGGCACTGCTGCGACCACGGAGACGACCAGGGAGCAAAGCCATCTAGAATTTCGCCTTTCCATTTGGAATGAGTCTTAAGTCCGCTGTGGGTTGCTGTATGACCACTCTGAACTCAGTTTCCTCATCTGGGAAATGGGTACAGAAATGTCTAGAATTTGGAAGCAGGAGTGGCATCCACTTCCTAAGTAACATGCCTCCGGAAACTCGGTGATCTTGTTTGCTTTTGAGTGGAGCACGACTCATAGCGACCCTATGAACAAAAGACCTGAAGCCTTTCTACAACTATCTACATTAATCAAACAACAATAACAATGTCTAGAAAGGAAGTAAGCTTGGATAGGTGAAAGGGAGACTCGAAACCGTAACCTGATGATATAGTCGGGCTGGGGGAATTTGCCAGGTCCGCGGATAGGCCAAGTTCACCCAAAGTTCTCTCAGTTGACGCGTTTGATTGGCAGCTCGCCGCTTGGAGGCGTAGCCGCGTGGTGACATCACAGAATCCCAGTTTCCGGTTTCCCTTCCCATTCCTCGCGATGACCACTCGAAACCCCGCCTCCCTGGTGACGCCATCACGCGCGTCAGCGTGGCCTATAAAAGGCGGCTGGCTGTCTTGCGTCTTTCAGACTGATTGGCTTTGCTGCTTATGTTTATGTAATCTTTTGTTTGCACTACCTCCAGCGTCAGACTGTGGCCTCGTCGCTTAGGGCAAGATACTAAGTGATCCTTTTAAAGACCCCTCGACGTCTGGGGGTGAGATGAACGCGTCGGACTCCCGAGCTGCACGAATCCGCGATCGCTTCTGGCAGCCCGAACCGAAGCTCCTGTCTCCTGGTTGAAGCGCAGCGAGCCGGTGAGTGAGAGGTCGCAGCGCCTGGGTCCCCAAGGGGTGGGTCACCAGCCGAGGAGAGCCACGGCGCGACCGCTGCCCCATCCCGC